TCATGATTATTAAGCAATGAAATGAAATACACTTTTTACATGCATATTTAAATAAATGTCATCAACACCCTGGGTCTATACTCGGGATGCCCTCAACTTGTTAAATGTCTAAAAACGGAGGGGTGGGCTTATACTCGGGGAGGGGCTTATGCTCAGAAAAGTATGGTAATAGTCTGCATTTCCCTTCAGAAGATTGGGACCAAAATAGCCAAATTTTTCAAGTAAAAACTGAAAATTGACCTGAATTTTGTCTGTTGGCTCCAAAATTAGGGTTCGTTTTCAGAAATATTGAAGAATACAAGAAAAAAATACAGAATAATGTGAAAGTCTGGTGGTGAGAAGGTTAATATTGACTGATCAGTGGGTTATTGCTGAGTGATCATTGTGACCTGTACCTTTGTATACAATTCAGTGAACAGTGTTATCAGTGACTGAGTGATTAAGTGCATGTTGTAATGTTACTGGTAAATAAATTAATAATACCAATTCTCTCTTTACAGTGACAGAAGGTACAAGTCCAATTGACAGCGAATTTCGCTCACAGATAGAAACAATTCGCAACATTGGGGGAGAGGGATGGTTAAGAATGCTGAATGAGATACAATCCCCTGAGAAACCAAGTTCATCTACTACATCTCAAAATCAACAGGGAACTCCTCATGTAGCTGAAAAGATGGGAAGGGCTGAAGGAGGTCATGGGACTATGAATGCACATCAGTCACTAAAACAAGCAGTCATGGAGGAAATTGCTGACGGAAAGAATGCTGACAGTCGGTATGTCACTTGTATTTGAAAAGAAGCTGTGAGCATCATTCAGCAGCAAAACTGATTATGAAAATCTCCATAGCAATATCCATTTTAATACTACATTATCTCATGAAACAATGTTGTTAGCAGCCTTTGTTATGACTTTGCCTTCAACCACACTCCTTAAAGTGCCTGTGCAATGCCCACCCACGCGTTTCCCCTTTTAGATTCGTGTCCCACTGAAATTGGCAGTTGAAAATAGTTACTCGTATCCAAGTAAATTTGAGATATTTCTCGCCCACCTTTACTGAAACGGTCGACTGTTTCCGAAAATGCGCCACCAAATGTCAAAATATGAGAGGAAGCTGTAATTTTATAACACTGCGTTATTCAACATACTTTTAAACGCGCTTCTGTTTTTGTCAATTATATTTTTTTTGAGACAGAGTTTTTAAAAGTTGTCTTCAGCACAAATATTGATGGTGAAACGTTGTGTGGTGGGCAGTTGCAGTAATACGTATAGTCATAGTGTAAGTACCGAATTGGATGTGGATGAAAGCCGTGAAACGAGAAAAGGTTAGGGTGGACCTTCTCCTTATAGCGTCATATGTAGTGTCCACTTCACCTTCAGATTCTTTTTTCGAAAA